TTGTATTAATCCCCAGATCGAGCCCGAGTCAAATGGGGGGATCGTGCTTAAACGAAACAAATGTCCATAAAGTTACTCAAGTCACAAACCATTCATTTTCTATTGTGGAATAACAGCTTAGTACTTGCTTTCATTACTTGTGAATTTATACTCATTGCACCTCTCCAAACTTTCCTGTTTTCACATTTGCTTCACTATGACCTTCTGCATCGCCATTGTTTCCCAGCTCTTGTCCACTAGATTAAACTATATGCAAAACAATAACAGAAAGATGCTAATGTACAGGACCGGGGTGCTAATCACTTGGATATGGAGCCATGGAAGAACTGGGACCTGTCAGAGTCAACAGTGATGGAAAGACGCTGTTTAGAAACGAATATTCCTGGAACCAAGGTAAGCAAACTCCATATCCGTAATCCGTCATCTAATAAATTGCTTAATATATAATATGGAGCTAATATCAAGTAAACGGCAGCGGTAAATATATTATTTCTAGAGTCCCCAGCAGGAGTAGGGTTCTCGTACTCGAACACGACCTCTGATTATGGAAACACGGGTGACAATAGCACAGCTTCAGATTCTTATACATTCCTTATAAACTGGTTAGAAAGATTCCCTCAATACAAAAACCGAGTTTCTATATAACAGGAGAAAGCTATGTGGGTCGTTATGTGCCTCAGCTTGCTTACACTATCCTTACAATGAACAAGGAACCAAATGAAACATTCATCAATCTCAAAGGCATTGCCGTAAGTTCGAACATAAAATTTCCTTTGCACTTCAGAAGGACTTGCTATCAATTAGCAGAAGTCTGATTACGACTTACAAGTATCAATTTGTGGTGCAGATTGGAAATGCCTGGCTGGATTGATGACAATACACTGTATTAAAGGGATTTATGACTATTTATGGACTCATGCTTTGAACTCAGATGAAACCAATGCAGGGATCAACAAGTACTGCGATTATGTCACTGGTAACTTTTCAGACCTTTGCTACAAGTATCAAGGCAAAGGAGGTCAGGAGGCCCGAAATCTAGACATTTATAACATTTATGCTCCAATTTGTCACTCTTGCTCACCAAATCTTATCCATGGTTCAGTAAGTAGTCCTTATTGATGCTGACGTTTATGCTTAATTTATGAAATCAAAGAAAGCCATTGAACCCATGATCTAAAATCTTAAACTGTTAGAGAGGGTCACGTGTATATCATTCCAATATTATCATTCAACACATCCCTTCACGTGTAGACAGAATTCATTTTTTTTCCCATCAAAGCCTAATACGTACACAATTTCATTCAATGGGTGACAACAAGACTTGAACTCAGGACTGCTACTTGCTCTAATATCACGTTGAACCACCTAATATAAATGAATTCATATATAAATCTTGAACTGCCAGAATCTATAATTTATGCAAAAATTGTATCCGATTCTTGGACTAACCCTGATATTAACTTGAAATTAGGCGAAAGAGTTTGATCCCTGTTCCAGTGAATATGGATACTCCTATCTAAATATTGCCGAGGTGCAGCAGGCCATTCATGCTATCAACACATCCTGGTCACCTTGCAGGTACTTCTTTCTTTATCAAGTAGCAATATTATAAATGTATCGGTAAACATTTCAATGAAATTCCAATCAACAATGACAAACGAAGCGCTTTTTTCAATAAATTTGGGTCTGCAACATTAATCTTTCTAGCCATTCCATTCGATCCATTGCTAGATCTACACAAAGATTCAAAGAAATATGAATACTAAAGCAGTCACCACTGACTTACTGAATTTGCATACAGTGGTGTAGGATGGACAGACACCCCAACAACAATTCTGCCAATAATCAGAAAGCTGATGGCAAGCGGCATTAGCTTTTGGGTTTATAGGTTAGTCTTTGCCATTTAATGTCAATTATAGCAGCTAATTCTTTTGATTCTGCATACTTCATTCTGTTCTGTTGGAACACCTCCTAATCTTAATATATGACTATGTGAGTGTGAATGTGAATGTGAATGTGAATGTACAAACATATGAAATATCTCTTGAACAGACTAATCCTCATTTTCTCTACCCATCTGTCTGCCGTTAAATTACTTTATGTAAAAAAAGGGCAATCGAAAATGATATTTCCACCAAAACTTGCAGTGGAGACATTGACGAGCGAGTTCCAATAACATCATCAAGGTACTCGATAAACACTTTGAGAGCTTGTTTGGTACAAATTAAAATCAGATTTTAATATAAGTCAAAGTCAAACAATCAATATTAACCACATCTTTCATGGGTCCGACAACATTTCAACCACACATTTCAAAAGCTTCTATCAAAATCTATTAAAAATCTAATTTTAATCCCCACTAAACACCCCCTGATTCTTCCAGTGGAAACTGCTTGGTATCCATGGTACACTAATCAAGAGATAATTGTCCTACACGTATAATTTATAACAATCACGTTACAATGACATAATCCTTAATATAATGCCATGTGACATTTCATCATTAGGCCGTTTTAAACACAGTTAGTTTTTCCATCAAATCATCTGCTGCCACATCGAATTATATTACTACATCTGTTACATTTCTTCTGGCAAAGTGGCAATTTTCAACTTCTAATCGCCCATGCATGCTCATATGAGCGGACTAAAGTATAGGGCCTATTGTGGCCATAAGAAAGATACATTTCAGTTTACAATTCCTCGTGATACTGGCAGGTTGGAGGATATGTGGTTCAATACAAAGGATTGACACTGTTGACAGTGAGGGGAGCTGGGCATAAAGTTCCAAGTTACCAACCAGAACGTGCATTAACTATGATCTTATCCTTTCTTAGGAGGAAACTGCCACCATCTTCTTGATGGGATAATATTTAGTCCTATGCACTTCAGTCATCTAAACAAAATTTGCAGAATTTGAAAATGAATCTCAATACTTGTGTCAACAAACAAAAATGGTTGAATTTTGCATGCCAGAATCCTTTATTCACATTCTCTTTAATAGTAATAACTGGGCTAGAATGGTTTCTATTTTTTTGGTGATTTTCATTTGTCTCAATTGTTAGAAACATCACACAACTTGGCAACAGAAATGATGAGGATCAAAGAAGCGATAAGGAGACCAGAAAATCTTGGAGCGATAAGATTGTCAAATTCAAATCGAAAGATAAACGCAAAGTTGTCAATTTGTTATTTGATAGTTATTATCTATTTTTTGGATAAACACTAGCTACAATAATAATGAAAAGTTGTTGAACTTATTTTATTATAAATATGAATAAATTTCTACCGGGTGCTCGTGGTCTATCGCCATCAATCAATAATGTTATAATCAAGTCTTTTATTCATTTTTAAAGTTATTTTCATATTTTCTTCTTCAATTCTATTGGTTGATTATATTATTTGATCGTGATCAAATTATTCGATTAGTCATTTATTATTTACATATATCAGCGACATCTTATCTTTAGATTTCTGTGACGTTTTAACAACAAAGAACAGGTCAAATCCAATTTGTAGTCAATGCATATAATGTTAATCTGCTGTAGACAAACACAACTTTGGTTTGGATTGAAGTGGACATCACTGTTCTCAATCGATTCTCACCAAACGCATTTTCGCATTTCTAATTGGAATCCACTCAGAGAACCACCAAAAATGATTAAAACTGGACTCCTCAATTCAATCATGCAACATGAAGTTTGCATTAATTCACACTGAATTCCAATGGCTAGCTCTAAAGCAAATAGAAGGACCAGAAGTATATCATAACTCCCAAGTAAAAAGGAACAAGAACAAAAACCGTTATGCTTCGCCACCTAGGGTCGCACTTGGCTCAGCCGACCCACCGAAGTCCTTTTCGCCGAAGCCATGTGGCATCCCACGTAGAGTAGGACCTACCAGAGTCCATTTAAATCTGATCCATTGAAGCCACTCTTACCGAAGTGAATCATGAGGCTAACCCTACTGAAATCCCTCTACTAAAGACAAATCCAAGGTCCAAACGAAGCTTCTTTGCCGAAGTAGCGAGGTTCAATGAAGTAGAATCCGATGCTCAATTAACACTGGTGACGATCCACGTTTAAAGATCACGTCAATTTGTCAGCATAGATTATAGGGTGATTGCCTCCTTTTTGGGGACATTTAATGCGCCACATACTAGTGAAGTCAAAATTGATAACAGGATAAGACACATCGGTTAAGGAGATAAGGCCACATGGCCCCCCATCCCATGAACACCATCACATATAACACTATAAATATCCTCCATTTGTGCCATTTCGAGGATAATGCAAATATATCAACCGCAAGCCATACATTCTCCTCAATTTTATTAATCTTTGGTTTTTAATATTTGATATGTGATCTTGATCTTGAGTTTGGCTCTTAGTCGATAGTTCATTATCGTATAATTTATCTCATATATTTTGCCGGAACCCAAACATATCTCTCTCGTGTTATAAAGTTTCTCCCGCGTTCAAATTCGAGATATTATTGATTGACAATCAATCCACGCTTGTTGAAATTAGCTTGAGAGAACGCGAGTGGGCCTTATATCTATTGTCCACATCAATGGTGTGAAAAATGAGGTCAACGAAACAAAAATAATATCTGCTTCCACATCATGATGTCCCTACAATTAGAGAAATTGTCGAGTGACATTTTCCACATTCCACTACAACGATGCGAAAAACGAGGTCAACAAAAACAAAAATAATATGCTTCCACATCATGATATCCCTACAATCCAAGAAATTGTCCAGTGACATTTTCTCTCAAGAAAAATGACATTTTAACAATAAGAATCGGCCACATTTAATTTATAGGCAACACATGTATAATCAGCTGTAAACAAATCATAATCACCCCTTTGCTCTTATAAATTTACCATTAGCGAGTGTTTAGTGAGGCTACACATGTATACAAAACTTTGCAACCCACAAAAGAAGATGAAAGTCTCACAATTTGTATCCATATTATTATTTATTTTCTATTGCCATCAAATGACCTATCCCACAATCTGTTGTGCAAATCAGATGGATAGCCTTTACAAACTGATAGAGTCAAGAAAATCAGATTTTTCATCCCACGAAGACACATGGAATGAAGTGGATATCTTATCAGATAAAAGATTTTCTTACCCTGTACGTGTTGGGGCTCAAGATGGGATGATGGAAGCTGACAAAATTGAGAGTTTGCCAGGACAGCCTCAAGGAGTGGACTTCAATCAATATGCAGGTTATGTAACAGTGGATCCAAAGGCCGGAAGAACGCTGTTTTACTATTTTGTGGAGTCACCTCAAAATTCTTCCTACAAGCCTCTGCTCCTGTGGCTCAATGGAGGTAAATATAACGGACTCCCCCACACACACCACAAACAAAATATGTCCCATTTATTTTCAATTAAGCAAGAGTGGGAGTACAATTCACTTCCCTTTGCTGCAAGAAATGTCCTTAAAAGTAAGAGCTTTTATGATATTCACTTCATACCTGCACTAGCGTTAGTGATGAAGTTGAAAAGTTTGCTGAAGAAGACTTCAATTCTAAAGCTTCAACATGGGTTACAATATAACTTTCTACTAGATCGCAATTTTTTCCCAACTATCTAATTCTAATGTGCAAAAGAGCATAGAGTGAACAATTTTAACAGTAAAATGAAGTTCACAGTTAATCTGCTCGGTTGTGAATTCATTTATGCATAAACAACTCACATACATTCATTATGTAAGGTGGAATTATAGTAAAATAACATCATCTAGAACCAGTGATGTTGAACACTAATCTAAGTGTCAGCATATCATAGGTCCTATTAAATGAGTCATATTTTCTTATATTTAATTAAATCTGTAACTTAATGACATCGGTGATGTCACCTAGACGGGTGTTGAACACTAGTGGTTCTAAATTTCATTGCTCATAATAGTAATGGTGCATTGCTTACTTTAGAATATGCACTCATTTAACCTCTCCAAACATGATTATTTTGAGAATTTCTAACAACTATCTAGTGCTAAAACAATAAGTTTTAGATTTGCTTTAAATAAGAGACCCAACTTAATCTTTTACCTTTTTCGCTGCCATTATTCCCATTCCCTGTCCATTATAAAAAACCATATACAAGAAAATGAAAGCAAAATGCTAATGTACAGGACCAGGGTGCTCATCACTTGGATATGGAGCCATGGAAGAACTGGGACCTTTCAGAGTCAACAGTGATGGAAAGACACTGTTTAGAAACGAATATTCCTGGAACCAAGGTAAGCAAACTCCATATACATCAATCCATCAGCCAAGTGAGTATTTAATATTAAAACATGGATCTAATATCAAGTAAATGGCAGTGGCAAATGTATTATTCCTAGAGTCCCCAGCAGGGGTAGGGTTCTCATACTCGAACACGACCTCTGATTACAGAAACACGGGTGACAAGAGCACAGCCGCAGATTCTTATACATTCCTTGTAAACTGGCTAGAAAGATTCCCTCAATACAAAAACCGAGATTTCTATGTAACGGGAGAAAGCTATGCAGGTCATTATGTACCTCAGCTTGCTTACACTATAATTTCAATGAACAAGAACACAAATCAAACATCAATTAAGCTCAAAGGCATTGCGGTAAGTTCAAACATCAAATTTTCTCTGCGCTTCAGAAAGACTTGCTATCAATTAGCGGAAGTCTGATTACAAGTATCAATTTGTGGTGCAGATTGGAAATGCATGGATAGATGACAATACTAGTATCAAGGGGATTTATGACTTTTTATGGACTCATGCTTTGAACTCAGATGAAACCAATGCGGGGATCAACAAGTACTGCGATTATGTCACTGGTAACTTTTCAGACCTTTGCCACAAGTATCGACGCAAAGGAGGTCAGGAGGCTGGAAATCTAGACATCTATAACATTTATGCTCCACTTTGTCATAGTTCCACACCAAAATCTATTCCTGGTTCAGTAAGTTTTCCCGATTGAGACACGTATTTATGCTTAATTTGTTTTTAAAATACAGAAAAACCAAAATAAATAGGTACTTGTTCCTGGCTGCTCTCAGTTAGTATCTATTGATGAGTGATCACCCACTATCTAGCTCGAAAAGGTAGTCCGAAAGCTTCCTCACTCCCAACAAGCAATTCTGAAATATTTATGTACTAAATACTGTCCAGAAACAAGTTAAATTTCAAAAGTTTCTATGGCTCTGCTTTTTACTTGTTGTTCATTATTTTACATTTCTCTGTAGTTAGAATAAAGAAGTTACCTCTTAACTATCTTAATTTATTATCCCAGCCTATCTATTGTAACCAAACTTAAATGATCAGTTTTTTTTTTATTCTGACTGAAAGAAACTTTAAAATTAGGTGAAGGAATTTGATCCTTGTTCTGGAGATTATGTATACTCCTATCTAAATCTTGCCAAGGTGCAACAGGCACTTCATGCTATCAACACGTCCTGGTCACCTTGCAGGTACTTCTCTTTTTACTAAATAGGAGTATCATAACGTTTCAATGAAATTTCAGTTAACAATGACAAACTAAGCGCTTATCTCAATGATTTGGGTGGGAAACATGAATCTTTTTCAGCTGTTCAATTCATTGCTAGATTTAGAAGATCCATTGAAATTTGAATAGCAACATGAAATTTCAATTAGATGACGTAAGCAGTTGTCTATAAATTCATCATTGCCGCTGAGATACTACCAAAAAAAGTTATATGGAAGACTAGTGAAGTTGTCACCAACGACTGACTTAATTTGTATACAGTGACCATGAATACAAAGACAGCCCGACAACGATTCTACCCATAATCAGAAAGCTTATAGCTAGCGGCATTAGCATATGGGTTTACAGGTGAGACATGTCTTTAAATGTCAATTATAGCCTCAAACTCTTTGATTTTGTATACTTCATTGATTTCTGTTGGCACACATCCTAATGTAAATATACAAATATGCATACATATGAAATTTTCCCTGTACAGACTAAATCCTCATTTTCTCTACCGCCCACCAAATTGTAAATTACTTCATGTGAAAATGGCAATTGAAGATGATAGTTCCAAAAAACTTGCAGTGGAGACATGGATGGACGAGTTCCAATAACATCATCAAGGTACTCCATAAACACTTTGAATCTTCCAGTAGAAACCGCTTGGTATCCGTGGTACACTAACCAAGAGGTAATCGTACTATACTTATGACTCATCATCACCTTTGCATGCTCATCTCTTTCCGTCTTATACTAACTTATAGTCCTGTTATGGCCATGAAAATGCAACAATTCCTTGTGATACTGGCAGGTAGGAGGATATGTGGTTCAGTACGAAGGATTGACGCTGTTGACAGTGAGGGGAGCTGGGCATACAGTTCCGAGTTACCAACCAGAACGTGCATTAACTATGATCTCATCTTTCCTTCAGGGGAAATTACCACCATCCTCTTAATAGAATAACATTAGTCATGCGTCTAAACAAAATTTGCACAATTCGGAATTTGAATCTCAACGCTCTTTCCTTCAGTTGCGATGAATGAATGAATGTTGAAACAAAAATGAAATAAAAGCTACTTTTGAAAATAAACAAAAAATGTCATCTCTTTCATAAGTTCTTTTGTGTTTGTAAACTTTACAAATTACAATATATTCCAAACAAGAAGACCACAAAATATATATTTCTCTTACATCAGAAAGCACTCATTAACTGCGAACTATACCTAGAATTTCAATTAAATAACACAAATTTCCAATTTTAGAACACAAATTCTAGCGCAGATACAATGACAATTTAAAAAAAAAAATACAGACCTAGAATTAAACAGCTTGCCGTTTTGTTCCACGTTCACTGGTGACGGCTGATTTCGCCCGTGGACCTGAAGATGAAGAAGCTGAAACTTCGATTTTGAGGAAAAAAAAAAATCCACAGTCGGATCTTACATTCATTGTGAAGTGAGATTTTGTTGAAAATTAATCATCCTGTCCTCTCGATTAATCTGGGTTATTCATTAATTGTTAATATTTACTACATTTTTAAAAAAAATAGAAATATTGTCTTATAAAGGATGAACCGCATTCTTAACGACACCCACCTGCCCTGTCCTGGGCCTTGTGAAGGAAGTAAATCGCAAATTATGCCTCCAAGGATTCAGGGTGGAGATATTGTCTTATAGATCAAATTGATAGTTGATGCAAAATACTTGTTTATAGTTTTAAAGAACTTGAGGTTTGCTTCTAAATGTCAAGACTCCATTCGAACCAAGAGCCGCTGGCAAGGAAGAAAAAGACGGGGTTTGTGCAAAATACTCCCCACACCTCGGACAAAGAACCGACAGGAAAATGCGGATTTACATAATGCACACAAGATAATCATGACGACATACCCTATAAGATAATTTATTCAAGTCGAGAAGTTATTAGTTTGAGTCCACACTTCTAAACAAATATTCGGTAAAATTCCTAGAGGACTACCTCAGTAGGGCAAAATTCAATGCCACTCCACATTTGGAGTTGGATACAAAGATGCAAAGCAATGAGTGTTGTATTTCATTGAACAACTTTTCAGCAGTCCTTCAGCTTACTTGCTGTTGGTGGGTTCCGTACACAGGATAAGCCCCATAGGCTGCTGCTGCATACATGCTTGGGTCGTGATGGGGCGGCACAGCATATCCATAGCCATCGTAAAAAGGCCCTCCGTAGTATGCACCAGTCCACTGGTTTCCAAAATCAGCTCTCGACTGCAAAATCCCAATGCAGCAATTAATATGTAGTCTATAGCTTATATGAGCATTATTTGGCTAAACTCAAGAAAAGAGAAGTTACCTTTGCCTACAAATATGTGCTTGGAACTTGCATTTTTCTTACTTTTTGTGTCTTTCGAAATAAGTAAATTACTTATTTCAACTCTAACAACCACCTTATTTATGTACAAGTTTAACTTTTTAAGCTTAACCAAACATGCTCATAACTTCCTCATTAATGCTATTAGACATGGGCCCAAACTGGCCAGCATCAATATTATGCCTAACATAACCAGGACGGTGAACCCTCCCATCCACCCCCAAGAAAGAAGAATAAGCAAACAAGAAAACAAAAGCAAGAACAGCCTCAAGAAACAGGCAAGAAAGTGTACGGGCCAAATGACCTTATATGGAGAGAATGATTCTATAAAAGCAGCAATTTGGAGCAAAATATACAAGTATTCTTTAATAAACACATCGTCAGCTTTGCTCAATGATCTTAACCATCAATTTATTTCCCTAACAAGATTAGATAAAAAAGGATTTTTTTTTTCAAGAAAAAATGTAATATGAAACTCATAAATATACATAAATATTCGTTCACCTCTTTTTCAAAGAGAGAGAGAGAGAGATAAAGAGTGTGGGCGTTTGTGGGGGTTAGAGGGGTGAAAATATATCTTCTTGCCTGCTTATTTGCTGGATTACGTCCCCAAGAAAGCCGTACAGTTTTATTTCCAATTGTTGTACCGTTCAACTTCTGCAATGCCTCCTCAGCGTCATTTCTGTAAAATGTTCAGATTCATAATACTGTAGCTGAAGTAGCTATGGACAAACCTTAGTATTTACCTGCGACTACCAAGGATATCATAAGTAGTAAGTTACCTATTAGCAAATTGTACAAACCCACATCCTTTCCCAACTGGTATCTTTACAGATAATATTTCGCCATACTGCACAAATGGCTGCCTGAGATCTTCTTCGCTGGCATTAGGGTCAAGCCCTCCAACAAAAATCTACAAGCATATATTAGCCAATAGGTATTGGAGACAATGAAAAGACAAGGAAAAGGACTGGATAACTGACTGTTGTGTTTAGGGTATCTCCATCAGGTTGCGAGCCTTGGGCTGAAACTCCATTTGAGTACCCACCTATTAAACCAACTTATAAAAATTTTAATTTTTGAATTAAAATCCCAGATATAGGCAATTGGTTTAGTATACTACTCTCAGCATGCTCAGAAATTATTTGAACCGCCAAATAGCAAGCTGTCTTACGAAGAAATACGACAAATTAAGCCTCATTCCAAATAAATATGGGGTTGGGAGAATTTGCAAGAAATAAATTATATTAATTTGTTGGGAGAATTGAAAGCCCTTGATGACAAGGTTTCAATTTTTTTATATCATCAAAATAGTGAAAAAGAATATCTGTGGCAGAACTAGAAGTGTAAGATTACAAAACCAATCCTCCCATACCCCCACCCAAAAAAAAAAAAAACAGAGAGTGAGAGAGAGAGAGAAGCCGGCTTTCACATTATTGCATTTACACTTTACTCAAAATTTCTAGTGTCTCGAGACCAAGAGTTGAGTGAAGTACTTACAAAAAAAAAAAACATGTAAAATCTTGTGTCCACTTGGACAATCTCATTCAGTTTTATGATTCTAATATTCTTATCCGAAGCTGGGCCCTACTCATGACTTCATAGATAGGGATCACTACATATTCCAACATATCCCTTTCGTATGAATTAGAGAAAATTGAGCAGTAAAAGCAAGGTGTAGCTTTAAAATTAGTTACAGAAATTGGAAAATAGAAATCTGCAAAAACAGATCAGTGCAGAGAAAACTGATACGAGCAACTGCAAAGCAAACTAGTGACAAAAAAAGGTAAACACAAGTAAACTACCAAATAATATCTACATTCTAATTCAGATAAATATGCCTGGCTTTCGAAAGAGAAAAACTAGCTGTATATTTAAATTTTTCTCAAGTTCAAATTAATGTTTAAGACAGTATAGGTTACCAAAGAAAGGAACATGTACTCATCTAGGTGTCTTAAGTATAAAAAGAGATATCCAGGTTTAGCTTCAAGATGCCACCTTTCAATACATTTATTTGGTTCAGTATGGTATAGCCGTATAGGTATGATGAAAACTGACATTGCCCCATTGTGTTTTATGAACCAATACTAGGATCACACCAAGGTTAATTTGTCCTTTTCTCCTTATTCATTTCAGGAATACAGACACAAAACATATGCAAATTTTTTCCCCCTCTCTTCCTCTAAAATTTGGGATGGAAATAAGTGATGGGCATGGATCATTCAACTAATAGCTGCCTTATTCATCACTTTCCTTCATTTTGCCCTCGCCAAAAAATTGAAATATGCATCTCTGTACATCCTTCCACTTCTCTTCCTATTTCATTTCTTTCTACTACTCCATCCCACAGACTAATAAGTTGGATCCTCATAGTCAGCGAGAATATGTTAAATGGTGTTCAAAAATTCAATTTAGAAAAATTGGCTTTTGTGCAGTTCATCAGCTCCTAAAAATAAAGCGTGCAGAAACAATTAATTTTGCAATGCTTGAGAGAAAAATCCAATTAAGTTTTGCATACATAGTTATTTGATACCTTGGGATGAATATTGTTGTTGGTATCCAGATGATTTCCTCGGTGTTGCCGCACCAATTCGCATGGGCCTGTTAGAACAATAGACACCATTCATTTCAGTCATAGCCTGTGATCTTTCGTTGTCATCTCCAAACCTAACGAAGCCATAGCCCTTTGATCGACCAGTGTTGGCATCAATGACTACTTTAGCAGCTTTAACAGAGGGATATTTACTAGAAAAAGTTTCATGCAGTAAGCTATCAGTAACATCTGCAGCTAAATCTCCTACAAATATAGAAAGATCAGAACCATTATTTGTGCGTTTGTCACCCATGCTAAATGTAGCCCAATTCAAACGGAAAAGTTGATCAGTGTTGGGCATAGAAATGCAAGAATAAGTTTGCAACACTTTCTCAGCAGCAGCATGTGTAAAGAACTCAACAAATCCATATCCCTCGGAAAAGCCTGTTTGCTTGTTACGAATAACCTTAATGGAGGCTACCTACAAAATGATCATCTTTGTCATAGAGAAAATGCAAGATAACAGATCACTCAATTTCTTTGATCAAAATTAAAGAAATAAAAAATGTTGAAAGAGAAGTGTCTGTCAGAGTGCTCTCACAGATTTAGCGGACTACAACATAGATGAAATATAAATTGCAAATTACTTATGTCATGGTTGAGAATTAAAGCTCTTATAAAGATCTATTTATATAGTTCAGATACGAAAAAATGACAATTATTTTACTTCGTAGGAATAAATTCAAGCCCCCAAGTTCCTTACATTAATTTTCAATTGAGTAAAGCATAAAATTATCCTTTCTATCACTTTCCTTTTCCAACAACAGTACCAATTATCATAGACCAAAATAACTGCATGACCATACTGAAACTAAAGGTTTTAACCAAAATGTCAGAAAGGTCAGCTTACAGAAGTCTTAACTCTATAAAAGGACATAGAAGAGCAAAAATACTTTCACTAAGTACTAATAGATTTTGTGTGAGGCATGGAAAATTGATTCCAAATAATAAGATGTTGCAAGTAAATGAACATAGTAAAATAAAGTCATTCTGCAATATAACTTCTTTAAATTAAAATAACAGTCAGTATAAACTTAAATTCTAGTATCAATTCATCTACTTGAATCACAAAAACTTGAAAATGGGAATTGCCTAAATCTTTATCTGGTTGAAACTCAAAACATACAGAAACTAAGACAATATAGTCAAAGAGTATATGTTGAATCCTCAAGACAAACTTCCTGGGAACTGCTACTGTGTACCATTTGGTTCTAAAAGTTGCATCCAAAATCTTCATATGTAACTATTCCTGGCATAACTATACTAAACAACAGCATGTTTTCAATGCCAGTTATGCAGTGTTGTGTAGTAATGTAACAATGTTGACAAGAAAATTAGAAAAAAAATCAATACTCAATGTCATTGCTATTACATATGATATGTGAACAAAAGTAGTATCACCTCCAACATCTTGTTTGACTTTCACTATCATGCTTTTGACAAAATTAATTCCTATGCAGTAGAACTAGACAAATGTCACAACAATTTAAGTCACTGCACATATTTCTTCTCTACACTCGTTATAGGAAGTTTCCAAAAGAAATAAATATGTCAATTTAAATAAGACACCAATAAAAAAAATAAAAACAAACAAACATTACAAACTAGAAGGTTTGAATTGTGACTCATCCTATAGACAAAAGTAATTTATATTCAACTTTTTCCATTATTTAGCTTATTGAACCAACAAAAATTACTTATCATAGCAAAATAAATGGTCATTTAAATAATGTAGCAGAGATTAGATTTCATGGTCAGTCATTATTAAAGTACAAATTTTTACCCTATAAATGAACATAATAATCTATAACAAACATCAAAAATTAATTCAATGAACACAAAAAATGCATCCAATAACACAATTTCAAGAAAACGTGTAATTAGAAAAGATACACATTTTATACCTCTCCGGTGGAAGAGAAACAGTTCTGGAGATAATCCTCGTCCATCCAATTGTGGAGGTCACCCATCCAGATAGTACGGTTCTCGCCATTGGATCCTCCATTACTGTTGCTATGATGCTGCTGCGGTGGTGGCGTTGGTGGGTGGTGAACCTGGTGGAAGTGGTGATGATGGTACGGCATGTAGTGGGGCGGATAATGCGGCGCAGGCATCATCCCATGCTGCATTACCATAGCCGCCGCCGGGTACTGCATCGCCACCCAAGGCTGTCCTTGCACGGCGGCCGTCACTGCCTGTTGTGGCTGCGCCGCCTGCTGCCCACCGCCCTTATTATTACTCTCATTATTATCTTTATTAGATTCAGAACCGTTATCTGCTTGCATCTTGATTCTTGAACAGACCCACAAGCACAAGAACCTCTATTTATTAATTCTACCACTATATACGAATGTAATATATAGGAATATAGGTATATCTCTATAGATATGGAAATAGGTATGTATATGTATACGTGAATCTGAGTTCTAGAGAGACAAGGAGTGTGTGGAGGCTGAAAGAGAGGATTTGAGGTTTTCATGGGAAGCCCTGAGATGACACGTACCGTTGGATTGAAGAGCATGTTTGCAATCTTCACCGTTGATGCCATGCATGATGTGGATATACAAAACACCGCTGCTGGATTTGGCCTGGGTCGGCCGCAGTTTTTTCTTTTAATAAGCTAGGCCCGCCTGAAGATTGGATATATATTTAGAGCTTGTTTGGTGGAGATTTTTTGGAAGAAGAATTGATTTTGAATAGTGATATAATAGAAAATGTATGGTTAAAAAAGAATAAAAAATTATTGATGTAATGAAAAATATTAGTTTATTGAAAAATGTGTGGTTGAAAATGAGAATTAATTTACTGTAGAAAATGAGAATTCCTACCAAACAGACCCTTATTATTTTTCACTCCCCCTTTTAGGGTATTTTATTTTGCTTCAACTTTCTCCCAGGGTTAGAAGTTGTTTGGTGTAGATTAAAATCAGATTTTAAGTGAATTGTGATAGAAGTTCTTGAAAAGATGTGGAATTCATGAAAGATGTAGTTAATATTGACTTAGATTAAAATCTGACCCAAACGGACTCTTAGTAAGGTTTTATTTTAATTTTGCTCAATCGAATAATATATTTTAAAAATAATTTCAATTTTGTCTAATTTCGTCATTTAGACGGATAAAAATCAATGACTTATCAGTCAACAATACATATGATGTTCGTCATTTTATTTCAATGTATTTGTACTCTAGTTATCTTTAGTTGAATAAGCTAAAGTTACTGAATTGAAATTAATTTATAGTGTAGTTACTCTATTGAAAATGAAATTAAAGTGTAATTATTTGAGTGAAATCACACCAAAATGTAATTATCCAAAATTGAAGTACAGCTACATAATATAACTAAAATGAAATTATAATTACCATGAATGAAATTTGCCCGTTTTCAATTTATTTTCATTAGTAGGTTTTATATTTCGAGATTTGCTTGTGTAAGCATATTTAAAAACTAGAAGCATTTGATAATATTCAAAAAGAAATTATGTACATGATTAGTCAAATTTTATTATATAAGTAAACATGATATATTTGGTAGCAGGGACGAAATTGGGGGGGTGGGCCCCCACCCCACCCCAAAAAAATTTTAGTTAAAAAAAATTATGTAAAAAAAAAAATCATGTATAATTTTTTTTTTTTTACGTATTAGTCCGGCCTATATTTCGGTCTTAGATCCGTCCCTGTTTGATAGATAATATTAGACATATAACCAAAGTTGTCAATTTGAGTAGGACGTTGACTCGACTAAGTTATTGGGTTGGTCGATCGGTGTACTGATACCTATGTATTAAAACTCTAAAAAAAATGTTAAATGATTTATTTTTTATCACAAATTTAATGAATTTGCTCTTTTGAATTTCATGATATATTGATTTATAAAAATATTTTCTACATATTGAGGGCTGTATTAATTAACTAATATGAGGTGTTCAAAATCCGTATTAACTATTAACCGGTTTGTCCTTTCATTGTGATGATTCAAGGGGTTAGGGCACCAGCGTTGATTTACTAGTTTTCCGAAAATTAAGGGCATGTTTTCTTTGTCCTTTTTTAAGCCGTTTTCTGTTTTCAATTTTTCAAAACAGTGAAAACGCGTTCTCTTTCTTATTTTCGAAAAAAACGCATTTTTGAAAATAAATTTAAAATTTACAAAGAAAACTCAAAACGACATGAACTCACAACACGGAAAACACCCGAAACGCACACCTGTTTCTCCTTGGTGAGCCGCCAACTATGGAGCCTCACTCATCTACCTTCCGGCCACCACACCCATCGGACATGACCCCCAATAGCATAACATCATTGCCTTCTACAACTTCCAAGTTCCAACCAACAATCAGCCAAAAAAATTCAAATTTAGCAGAAATTTTAGTCCAAAAAACCAATCTGGCACAAATTGTTTATGTCGGAAATTCCACCTCTAATGATGGCCAAAGTCACGTACTACTACCGGTCGATTGCCCTTCCTCGAATGACTCAGACAGAGACTCAATTTACTCTAAACAACACTTCAACATCTTTAATTAAACTCAAAAATTCCAGTCGCAAAGCCTTCAACACAAGGTCCAAACTTTTCAATTTCTAGCGTCGTTTAATCGATCCAAGGTCGCGGACCACATGGGTTGGCCTCCTCTCCCCCTGGTGCATCTTCCCAAACCATGGGTCAAGCCAAATTTCAACCAAACCTTGAAGAATTCATGGGAGCAGTTAGAGTTCTTTGTGAAAATTTTGGTACAAGTGAATTTGATGAATGTATGTTACTCCAAATGTTCAATTCGAGGAACAAAACTTCAATTGATTATGGAAAAGCTATGGATCAACAACCAAATGTTACAATAAACAACCAACATTCTGGTTTGAATCCCTCAAAGGTTCGTGCACGCAATGGAGTTTCATATGATCCAATTGATGTTGCTTATGAAGTTATTGCTCCAAATTTGATTGACACAACAGCAATTGAGAGTCTCAAGATCATTGGTAACCTACCAATTGATAGAATTGATGATCAATGCAATACTATATTAACATCAAATGAAAAAATTTATTGAATAATCAGATTTTTTGAATAAAATATTATAAAAAAAACTCTCAAAATTTTAAAGTAAACGCGTATTTCAATTTTCTATTTTGAGAAATAGTTTTTCAGAATATAAAAAAGAACACATTTTCAACAATCTCAAAATAAATACTCAAAATACAAAATCCAAAATGAATTCCAAACTAAAAATACAAAACTAAAATAGAAGAGAACAACCCTTGAGGATCTGTTTGATTGCAAGGGTGAAAAATGAGTGGAAAGAAAATGAATTTTAGGGAAAATAATTGTTTAGAATTTGTTTTACAAAGAATTGTTAATTAAGTGTGTTTGATTGATATAATTTTCCACCCGAAATCTTTTTAAAATTTTGGATCTTTTTGTTCACGTTTAGCTTCATTTTATAAGGAAATTGTTCATTAAAGTGGATTCTTTTTTTATAATTAGTTATAAAATTTGTTACCATTGCCAAAAAGTTTGCTTAAAAACTATTTTTGCACCATTTTTTCATTAAAGTTTAGTATTCGTTGGGTTTCGTTTTACATTAAAATAGTCCATTAAAGTGAAAAAAAAATTTACAACTGGTCATGAAATTTATTTCCATTACAAAATAAAAAAAAAAAAGGCTAGAAAATTGAAATTCATTTTCCCAACAAAAATGTGGGAGGAAAATGAATTCCCTAAAAGAAGGAAAAATGGCGTGTGGGTGGGTTGAGGGGAAAAAATTTTCCTTGGAAAATTTGTGCCATCAAATAGCACAAAAGTGGGAAGTGGTAAAATATTTTCCATGGAAAATTTAACAAATCAAACATGGCCTAAATGTTTCCATCTAAATTTAACAAATGATTTTTTTTTTTATATTGTTCACTCTAGATAAGATTCAAGGAAAATGAACAATCAAACTCCTAAAGGCCTTTTTTTTTTTTTGGCAATGGATAAGTAGAAAAATCAATAATGTTAATCATAATCGGCAACTACAAAATTATCTTTCGTGAAGTCTTACGTGGCTTACTTTAATCTATAATATTATTAAATATCATACCAAGTGAGAATCATTCTTTGGACGATTCTAGCACTACTATAATTTAATTATTTCAATGATACCTTACTTTTCATTTTTCAACATGTATTTAATTTATTTAACCATTTAGTTACCTGGACATTTGACAAATTTATTTCACATGTGTGCTTTTTCATTAATGTATGAATTTTCTATTGTTAATTCTCAATTAATGAACATTCACATTCATTTATGCATTTCAATGTTATTAATTTTAATTATAAGTTAATTATAATTTCACATTCAATAATACATTTCATTGTTCACGTCCATATATGCTAATTAACATTCAATTAACATTCATTGTCACGTATATATTTTCTGGTATTAATTCTAAATTAATTAACATTCACGTATATTCAAATATTACTTTTATGTTACTTATAAAATATTTCATAATAACGTACATCGCACGTTCAACATTGACTAAAAATAAGGTACAACTTTCAACATGTTCAACCTTAACTAGTAATTTTAAAAAGATATAACTTTGAATAAAGTAGTGTTATTCATAGTCATCGATTGCAGTGGTCATCATACGTGACATCTAACATGACATAGTTGATCATTTTTAAAATTATTAAAATTAAGACACGTAAAATGCAACATGGGATGATTATTGCATTTGCTAAATATGAATGGCATTATTGTTCACGTAATTAACCCACAAGTCTTGATTCTTGTTGAATACTATACAAGGATGAATAAAGCTATATGTACAAAACTTGGTCGATGGGGAGTTTACAAGGGATTTTGAATAGAGTAATGTTATTTAGCCCTACTGAGATTGTAACCCAAGTTTAGGTGGCGTTGATGTGACATTAAAAGACTTATTTAATTTTAAGCAATGTTATTCATCCCCATTGAGATTGCATCCCTAGTTTAGGTGGCATTAATATAGTATTAAATTATAGGTGAAATTAAATAACACATCATTTAGCCAATCATTTAATATCATTTAGATTGGAGATGCAACCCCACTGGGACTATATAACATTATTGTTTAATTTTACTTCTCATTTAACTTATCATCTAACTCTACCTAACTAAGGATGCAACACCAGTAGAGCTACATAGCATTATTTCTTTAAATAGGGGCGACATGACAAAAAATTAACCAAGAGTTTCCTTTAATTATTTTATGTTGATTTTTTCTAACCTTTGATTAGGTTAAAGAGAAAACAATGAGAATGATG